TTTATGAGGCTGAGGCAGGACCACCATAAGTTCAAGGTCAGCCTCAGCAACTTAGCAAGATCCTGTCTCAAAATAAAAAATAAGGGTCTAGGGTTGTGGCTCAGTGGTACAGTGCTTACCTGGCACATGTGAGGCACTGGATTCGATCCTCAGCACCACATAAAAATAAAAAAGATAAAGTATTATGTCCATTTATTACTAAAAAAATAATTTAAAAACATTAAAAATAAAAAGTGCTTGGAATGTAACTCAGTAGTTAACATCCCTGGGTTCAATTCCTCAGTACCTCAAAAGAAAAAAAATTAAGAAACCTCAAAGATCAGAGTTCTCAAAACCAGAGATGTGACTCAGTCGGTAGAGCACTTGCCTAGCATGCCCAGGGCCCCAGGTTCAATCCCCAGCACCACCACAAAAAAAAAAAAAAAAAAAAAGCAAAAGAGAAAGAATCAGGACTCTCCTTTTTCTAAGAAATGCTTATTCATTCAATAAAATTCCAACTGTCAGAACCTCCCCCTTATTTGAGGGTCACAACAGACGCATAGAAAAAAAAAATAGGGGGACAATGAGCTACTAGCAGCAGGAGCAACTGAGCACAGGTGTGAGTCAGAAGTAGCCTGGGGCCCAGCACTAAGAAGGCTGCCCAAGGCTGGGCTGTAATAATTGCCCAGACGCCAAGTGAAGGGCCAGGTGGCTCCTGGGTTGGGCCAAAATCCACCGACTCCTGGAAGAGGACCTCACACAGTAGCCAGGCTGAAGGTGTGTTGTGTGGGGACCATGGAGACCAGGAACACCGTGTGGTCACAGGATCACTCAACTCTCAAGGTCACAAAAGCATTCCTGCCTCCTTGGTCATGGACACAGTAATAAAATGGGTTATTGCTGCTCTGAACAAATTTGGAAATGGAAAGGGGCACCTAGTGAAAAATCAAGAAAGACTCCAAGGTCACTTCCTCCCAGAGCACACTCTTCAGCGTCCAAGTTGGCCAGGCTGAACAAAGAGCAGTCCTTGAAGCATGCTGCTGGGGCACGGAGGAACCCCTCCTTTGCCTCCTGAATGCTTCATGGAGGAACCCCTCCTTTGCCTCCTGAATGCTTCATGGAGGAACCCCTCCTTTGCCTCCTGAATGCTTCAAGATGGATCTTTAAGCAACAAACAAAAATGAAGAATAACGGGTGGAGGGAGGCTCAGGGCCAAGTCTCACCCCAACAGGAACCACACAGCAGAGCCCAGAGCACCAGGCTGGGCTGGGAGGTTGCCCAGAGGGCTGTCAGAGCCACAGTGGAAAGAATCCATCTCCCCTGGGCTGGGGCTGCTCCCCTCACCTCCTGGAGGAAGAGACGCGCTTCCTACAATAGAGTCAAAGTCTCCTTCAGTCCAAGGTCATGGACATCTCTATCCAACTTTGCTCCTGTTTATACACAAGGAAACAAGGACGCTGGAGCAGTTTAACTAAGGATGAAATGGATGTGGTCCAAGCGTACGTTTGGGCCAACAAAGTGCTTTCGAAATCCGGCGTTGGAGTTTCCAAGTTTCCACAGTGATTTAGTCCATGTTCTCAATGAGAAGACGCTTGGCGTGGGAGGGTGGAGAATCAGAGACGGATCAACAAGGGTACAGACAGGAGGGCAGGCCTCAGAGTCAGACAGCGCTGGCTTGGCATCCTGCTTGCAGCAGTAACGACCGTGACCTGAGATGAGCAGCACAACCTCACCAAGCCCCATCTCCTGTTCTGCAAAAGCGAGGCTGACATTCTCTTTTCCGCAGGGCTCTGTGCACATTAGATGAGATGACATATGCAAAGGTGTGCGGCACCTCCCTGGCACGTAGTAGATGCTCACCAAATGTCAATTTCCTTCCTCTTCACATCACCTTTTTAGAATTTCTGAATGTATTCATGCTGGGAAGTAGATTGGGAAGGGTGTCTTCAATTACACTTCACAGAGAGTAAGAAACATATGGGGAGAAGATATTGATCCCAAGCTGCCAGCATTATTTTTGTGGAAGGAAAATTCAGAACGACTCCAGATCCGCACTGCACTCTTAGCCGCAGGTGCGCCTAGGATGTCTCTGACACTATCGAGTCGAATATATTCATTATGACATAAATAGAACTCGGGGAGCTACTTCATTCAGGCGGGCGCTGTGAGTGGCACCCTCCCCTGTGGCATTGCTCCACTGGGGATGTATCAACACATTTGAAAATGTCAGACGGAGGAGAGGAAGTTTTCTCTCGGGGATTGGAACACCTGGTGTGAGAAAATCTAACGGAAAGGTGATGGCAGAGAAAGAGGAGAATAATTCTTACTCCTTCTGCATGATATATTCAAGAGACACAATAGACCTCCCTTCAAAATTTTTCATCTGATGGGTATTAAGTGACCTTTTCACAAAAAATCCACCGAGCACATTTGCATGGACACGGTATGTTTCTCAGACATGCACAGTGAAGGGCATCGCAATTCACCTGCTTTGAGCCGGGCCGTGGTGACTGTGTGCAGGGCTCGGGAGGAGAAAAACTGGCAAGTCTGCTGTGTACCTGGCATAACATGTGGCACTTGGAAAAGTTAAGTCACTTGAGAATCACGGCACCTTTGTGAAGTCAGAAAGGCCTTCTCAGAGACAAGGAAATTGAGTCCAATAAAATAAACTAGTAACTGACAGGGTTTGGATCTGAGTGCCAACTGTCGACCTCCAAAGCCTCGCCAAGTCCACTGTGCCAGGCGCCTGCACAGCACCTCGCTGGGCTCCAGTTCATCCGTCCCTTGCTCCATGGTTGAAGAGTCTCCAGCCCAGGGAGGAAAACCTGTTGCCTTAAGTCAAACCCCAACTCACCCCTCATGTTGAAGCAGAACCCGGCATCTCTAAATGCCCATGCGACCCACTTTCCTCTACGTCTCCCTGTGAAAAAGCTCTCTAGACATGGGCACAGACACCTGCTCCTCCCCAGACCCCAGCACAGCATTCAGAAGCACACGCACCCAGCTGCTTGAGACAGGCCTGGAGTCCCCTGCAGCTGACGCTCCTGCAAATCGTGTTCTACCTTCAAAAGGTTCCTCAGCCACACCACTCCACGCCCACACCAGCTCTCCTGATGGCTGTAGCCTCTAACGGTCTCTGTGCTCTCACTCTTCCCTCCCAATGGCCCGTTTTCCCTGCACGGCAGCATGAAGAGCATTTGCCTTCAATCTCGTTGATTCATTCAACGAGCATTTTTGAGCACCTATTGTATGCCCGGCACCTTAAGTGGGAATTCTGTAGAGATAAAAGCAAGCTAGACTCCCTGACAGCAGGAAGTTGACATTTTAACACGAGGAACAGGCAAAAAATTAGAAGGTGGAGAGGTAACACAAATAAATTGCATAGAGATGTGTTTCAGGAAAAAAAGCAGAACAGGAAAGAAAGATTTCAGATAGGGTGGACAAGAGAGGCTTCTCCAAAAAGCCAACATGCTATGGAGATCCGCGGGAATGGGGCAGGGCTGTGTGATCCAGGAGGACACAGGACAGGCCACAGACAGGTACAGTCTGAGCACCATCCAGGGCCATTGGGAACTGGGACACAGAGACTGAAGGAGAGCAATACAGAGGCCACGGAGGGCCCCGGCTTCTGGTGGCGACCTGCACTGACCCCCACCATGACAGACAGGCTACCAGGGATTTTGAATTTGTGTATTCCCGATTCTCACAAATCAACAAACTACAGAATACCCTCTTTTTTCAAATGAAGAACCTGAGATTTGAAAAGCTGCGTGACTTGTCCAAAGTCAGACAGACGACCTGTCTAACCCCTCCCGCTGCTTCTCTGTGGCCATGTGTCTGTGCTACTAGGTTAGGGAACAAGCGACGGAAGATCCACCTGGCCACATGGTCAGTCAGGGGCTGCAGGACGTCCGTAGCTCTGAGAGAGAGAGACGCTGCTGCTCAGGGCAAAGCTCATGGCACACTGCAGCCCGGGGGGGATTCTGGTCAATTGAGGCTGGAGACACACACAGGACTTGACTTCTCTGGACCTCAGCTCACCGTGTATGAAAGGATCTTGCACTTCTGGGTAAAGGGGCTTCTAGGTAAAGGGGTCCCCAGAACCCTCACACTCCCTCATCCACGTTTACAGCAGGAGAGACTGTCTCTAAGAGAGGCCAGACTAGCACCAAGTCATGTCACCCTCTCAGGCCCTGTCCCCGGGCACGTGACATCCTCCAGGGAGGTACATGACTGGTGACCGACTCTGCCTGTGCTTCCAGACATTAGTGTAAGGTCCAGAGGGCAAAAGCTGGGCCAGGGTTCCAGGTGGGTCCTGGAAGGGACTGTCCATACCCTGGCATGCTCGGCTCCTCCTCACACCTGGTGGTCATGTGTCCACCTGCAACTCCCAGACCAGACCCAGCAGAGGAGTGATGACCTTGTGTGGCAAAGATGTGAGGAAGTCCAGGATCTTGCCAGGAGAGGGAGCTTCTCCTGCATCTCCGCGGTGGACCCTGAACGCAGTCAGGTGTCTTAGTAAGAGACGAGAAGGGGGAGGTCTGAGACCCAGGAGGGGGCAGTGTAGCAGCGGAGGCAGAAGCTGGAGCCAGGGAACATAAACCAAGGAACACGGAGAGCCACCCACAGCTGCAGACACAGGGAATGGAGTCCCCCGGGGCCTCGGAAGAGCACAGCCCTGTCCACACCTTCATGGCAATTCCTGCTCACTTTCAGACTCTGGCCTCCGGGACCGTTAGAGAATACAGCTCTGTTGTTTTAATCCACTGAATTTGTGGAAATTTGTTACAGCTTCCTGAGGAAACTAGTAACCCTACCGCAAGCCTCTTGCTGTCTTCCTGCCCTCAGTCTTCTCCCTTGGCCGATGGCCTGGAGCCCGCCGGGCAGGCCTCCTGCTTCCCGGTCAGCTGTGTCCTTCCAGGCCCCCTCCCAGCCACCAACCTCCCTTCCCATAAGCCACTCCCAAGGGCACTCGCCCTGCCTGGGTGACATGACAAGGGCCAGAAGCTCCTCCTGTGGCGTCACAAACCATCGTCAGATCCATAATGACCATTAGTACACTGGGACCGCAGTGGCCTGTGAGCCGCCTCAGTGGCAGGATGATGGACGATGTGGGGGCCCACGCCCCTCCCCCTGTGGCAGGGCCCAGTTGGTGAGTTTTATGAATGAAAGGAAGTGTGAGGGGCTGGCTGGGGGCAGAACCGGGGCCTGGGGGCCTAGGGGGGTGTGGGGAGCTGCATCTCCCTTTTCTAGAGCAGGAAAAGCTGCCCCTAGGAGCTATAAGAGGGTAGCCCTGGCCAATCTCCCCTAGTCCATCCCAGCCAGGAGGGGCCGGCATGCTTGCCGGGTGGAACAGGCTGCAGTTACACTTGAATTTCAGGTGAACCACAAGTAATCATGTGCATGCACTAGTCAGCATCTGTATGTCCAAGATGTATGCGTCTCTTTCCTCGGGATTTCTAACTTCAGATAGAACTTGGGCATCGGGTATTTTTGTTTCCAAACATGGCTTGGGTATCCAACTCTTAGCCTGTCCGTGCCCTTTACTGACCACACTGCAGCCTCCCTTCAAGTAGGGGCCACCTGTCCAGGCACCTGGAGCAGCACTTGGACAAAAGCCAAGAGCCTGTGGCATGTTGAAGATGTGCCAGATCTCTCAGCTCAGCCAGGCAGGCTCCCGACCCCTCACATCTCAGCCAGGGGGGCTCCTGACCCCTCAGCTCAGCCAGGCGGGCTGCTGAAGGGAAACTGAGGCAGGGAGAAAGAACTGCTGTGCCGAGGTTGCCGCCATGGAAACAGGAGACAGTGGAAGATGCCAGGAAGAGCTGCTCTTCACGCAGCTCTGCCACCGCACACTCCGGGAGGCAGCGCTGAAGGAGGCACAGCGGAGGCTGCAGCGTCTTCCACCTTAACCCTGGACTCATGCTCTGCCCTGGGCCTCTTCCGGCATGTCCGCCCCATGCTTGAAGTCAGCTGCCACTCCAGGCTGTCCCTCACCCGCACGTCTCTGGCGCTGACCAGCATTTCTGCTGTGCTTGGCTGAAAGCCTCCCCATCTCCCCCTCCTTGGCCCCTGCCCTGTGCAAACTTGCCAGTCAGCCCCTTTCTGGCTCTTAGGCCGCAGAGACTAGACGGAGTCTCCCTCCACTGCCGCTGACCCTTTGCCTGCCCCACGAAGACCAGCTGCAGCTGCACTGGCGTGACATCTGGAAACCCCGCTCGTCTCCCCCAGCCCACGCCGAGCACCAGTACGGCAGGCACACAGGCGACAAGCTGGTTTGGAAAGTGGCCTAGGTGATTCTTCCTCCTGCTCCTCAGAGGACATGGGACCAAAACCCTTTAGCTATCCTCCATGAACCAAATTAGCACGGCCTGGCCTAGGATGGCTGCTGTGACCCGCCCTTGATGTTCCCCCTTCCTCTCATAATCAAGGTTTTTGGCAAGCCCAGGGCAGTCAAGAGCCCCCAGGTCAGGCTGGTCAGGCTCAGGGAGGCTTCTCACCTCAGCCAGGGCCACATGTGATTCCAAAAGTGACCCAAGATTGCGCAGGTAGCAAGAGACGGGCTGGGTGTCCGCTAGGGCCGAAACCCTCAACCCGTGGGGCCTCCACTGCTCCGTCCTTGGTGGTCTTTACGATGGGCCTCTGTGCACGAGGCAGGGCCAGGGAGAGAAACCCATATTCCAGTTCTTCAGGCCATGGACATCCCTCTCCTGCATCTCTGAGGTTATAGGAATACCCTCCAGGCCCCCAACCCTCTTCTCAGTGTTCCTTCAGTGCCTTCGCCTGCCTGCCTAGCTGTTGCTGACAAAGAAAGGGTGTGTGGATTGCCAGCTCAACATTTTCAGTCTGCTTTGCCCCAGGAAGTCTCTCAGGGACCCGGGATTCTTCATCTTGTGGCTCCAACATCCTCAGTCCTTGGAATGCTCTGTTCAGAGGGCCTCTGAGGGTAGGACTAGATTGCATGTGAGGGTTTTTGAGCCAGGACTGCGAGGGGTGCCCGTAGTGGACATAGCGGCCTGCCTCCCAGCTCCCTGTCAAGCTGCAGGGCGCACTGCCCCATCCTGGGAGTACACTAGGAGATGGTCTTCAGCTTCCCCTCAGGAGCCTCTGGGCTGAACAGAGGCACCTTGCTCAGGGTCTCACTCCCTTCCTAGGACAGTCACCTGGTCAACTCGGGGCTCTGAAGGCCCAGGTCTCTTCACCAGGGCAATGTGGAGACATTCCAGCTTCAGAGCTGTGCCAGGGTCAGCTGAAGCCTTAATTAGGTCTGTGCTGCTCGGCCATCACTGCCCACCTCCCCGCTCTGCCCTGCTTCCTTCCCTTTTCTACAGTCGGTCTGAATCCCCCAAGCACTCCTGGATGAGCTTCCTGCCTGCTGATGGCAAGCTCAGAGTCCACTCCCCGAGAGTCCCAAATCACCTATGCTCATGTCCCTTCTGACCGCCTAGCTCAGCCCAAACTCAGGCTCAAGGCCATGTGGACCAGCAAAAGAGCCCGGAGTCCACTCTGCAGCATGCATAGAAAAATGAGGGGCGGAGATGCGCACCATGCTCTAACAAACTTTCAGCCCGGTGTGGAGCTTCCACTGGTGCGAGGAGGACTTGACAGTGAAAGGCGGGGGAAGCCTTTGAACTTGGAGCATGATTCCAACTGTGGGCCCCGGAGTCAGAATGTGGGACTTGAGCTCAGCCCTTCCACTTTCTGGGATCAACAAAGAGCTCTTTTTCTTCTCCTGTTCACTCTCTGCTCAAATCTACAGACTGAGACCCAGTAGTAGCACATATGAGCAGTCCTGAGGATGAACACGAGAGTGTCAAAGTCAGCCCCCAGCGCTCGTGGAAAATCTCTCTACTGATACTCAGTGGTTCCAGTTCTGTCACCTGACATCTCTTGGTCCATGCAAAACACAGACTTCTTTGACAATAAACTTGTGGATTGGGGCACCCAGACATCATGTCCTATCAAGAGCGGGCCACATGGAAATTAATGTGCAAGCTGGAGAACTAAATATCTTCACTGTTTTACATTCTAAGAAAACTTTGAAAATGTTTTCCTTGGTATTAAACCACTTGATCTGTGCTCAGGACTGCAGACGGATCTGCCCAGAGTTCTGTGGTTTGCATGAGTTGGACCAGGATCTGATGCTCAGACCTGGCATTTGCTCGAGGAGGCCTTTGAAGGCAAGAGCAAGACTTGGCCAGAGTGGAGTTAAAGGTTCTTCCAGGCTTTGGGCCTTCTGCTGAGGAAGGGCCACCCTGGGGGAAGAGGCCAGCTGGGCAGAGCAGATTGGGCAGGGCTCATAGCTTCCTCCTTGCCTCATGATCTGAAACCAAACCAGCAAAAACCTACAATATAATCAGATCACCGAGAAACTCTAACTGAATCCAACCATGCAGCACCGGGGGGATTTGGGGGTCAACAGAGTCTATTTAATGAACAGCAGAGGGCCTCAGGCCTCTGCCCAGGGCAGGATGGGCATCAGGGCCTGGCCCTGCTGTGACATGGTGAGCTCTGGTTCTGGGGCTGCTTAGCCACGTGGCTGTGTGTACGCTGGTCCCCCCGCCCCTCTGACACAGAATCCTATCTCTAAGTGGGGATCAGAGCAGCGATAGCATCAATGCTGTGTGAAGGTTACATGAAAGAAACCCTCGAAGCCCTCGGAAAGCACCCGACAGGCAGCAGCAGCTCATGAAGCCGGCCGTGGCAGCGGCTGTGGTTGCTGTCGCCGCTCCCATTGATGATTTTGTTATTCTTACAGAAGGGCCCTGCTCGGTCTCCACCGCAGGCCCAAACATCAGGGCCAGCAGCCGTGGCCTGAAGCCTCTGAAGCCATGAGCCTTGCAAGTGGCTTATCTCAGGAGCTAGTGGCAGTGCCCTGCCATGCATGGCTGTCCGCTCCACAGCCCTCCAAGTGGCTGCCACCTGCCATCCCACATGACACCCCCAAGCTCACCCTTCCCGGGCAGTGCCGCCCATGGCTCCAGATTCTTCTTCTGATCTGGTTCTGCCTCTGGAATTTCTGCTCACCAAATGACACCCACATTCATGAGCAGGTGCTCTCTTCTCATTCATTGTGTGTTTTACTTGAATGTTCTGAAGAGCCTCTTTGAGCAAAGCTGCAGCCTAGCCACGGGAGAGGTGGGCACTGAAACAGAGGCCATGTGGTGCTATGGTTGTTTAGGTATTAGGTGTCCCCCAAGAGCCCAGGTGCAAGAAGGTTTAGAGGAGAAATGAGTGGAACCTAACCCAACCAGTGAATTCATCACCTGATGGACGGAGTGGTAACTGAAGGGGGGCAGGGTGTGGCTGGAGGAGTGGGCATGGGGGCCGTGGCTTTGGGATATGTACCTTGAGTGAGTCCTTCTGCTTTCTGGCCGCGTCCCAAGCCACTTTCCACCACTACACTCTTCCCACCATGATGTCCTGCCTCCCCTCCAGCCAAGGAATGGAAAACGCTGTCTGTGATCCGAGACCTCTGAAACTATGAGCCCCACATAAACTTCCTCCTAAAATTGTTCTCATCAGGTCTTTTAGTCACAGCGGTTTAAAAGCTGAAACACATGGCATCGTGCCTTGCCACCAACGAAGCCTGGGGTCCCAATGTGAAGACACAAATGCACCAATTGCATAGTCTACAAAAGCTCGTGCAGGGGGTCCCGGGGCTTGGTGGGCTGGACTGGCAACAAAACTGACCAGAATCATTTCAGCTGGATGTGCAGGTGGGACAACGGGGATGCTCTGCTTGGATGGGTCAGGACTTAGCACTGGCCATGTCCTGACCAGTGGTGAAATGTCACCCCAGATCTGGAGAAGCTGAGGAGCATCCCAGGAAGACATTTTTCTCAATGAATTAGAAAAAGGGGAAATTTTATGAAAAGTCATAAGCAACCACCAACTCAGGCTGTTTCTAAAGCCACTTAATTAAATTAACATAGTCAGATGAGTGCAGGTGGTGCATAAGGCATGCCAATACGGAGAAGATACCAGAACCCACTGATCACGTGAACCAGCCAACTGTGGCCCGGACAGGGTCATGTCAGAATGTGGCGGCACCTGTGGGAGCCACATAGCTGGAAGGAAAATGCCGAACAGGCAAACAACAGATGCTCACACAGGGCAGTCTGCTGAGAAATTAAAATTTCAGATGCAAGCAGGAGTCAAGGCTTGCTGTCAGGTATTCAAGCATACAATAAGCCCTTCTATTAGAGAGGGAAATGAAGGGATTCGAAACCCATAGGCTTTGATAGTGGACCCAAATTCAAAACCTGTCACTAGTTGCTATATTTTATTAAGTTGGGTAATTTATTAACCTTTCTGATATTCAATTTTCTTAAATACAGAAAAGGAAAGATAACATCTAGCTTTAACCTTTCCAATCCTCAAGTTTTTTAGTTTTAAATAGGATAAAAAAAGAAAACAACAATAGTGTCTAACTTGAAGAATGCTAATGAGAATTGGGAGAAAATATGTAATGTGCCTGCCACACGACTGGTCTCATCTAAATGGCATTAATTCTTCTTGGTCTTCTAAGGGATACTGAAGACATAACTGGAACCAACGGCCAGAAGTTACCCAAGAAACTCTTCAATTTAATGAGTACTTATCAACTAGAATGACTCAAAAAGGGAAAAGGCTTCCCTCTGTGGAGTAAGCGCCCATGTGGCACAAAGGAAAGAACTTTGGAGCTGGCTTCCAGCTGCCCGCTGTATGGTCTCAAGACAGTTGCTGATGCTTCTCCTGCTGTCCCCACTTCTGGGCCCCACAGTTGTTTGACAGCCAAATGGCAGAGGCTGGAGGGGTTTGGTAACTGGCTGGGTGTCCAAGCAAATCTGAATAAAAGTGTGGCCCTGTCGACACTGTGCAGGAGCAAGGCCTGCCCTGCAGAGGAGTCCAGCTGGGAGTCTCCACCAAAGCCCTGACCAGGACCCTGGGCCTGCAGAGTGGAGCTCCACCCGTCACCATGTTGCTTCGGCCAGCAGGGATCCAGCTTCTCATCCTCTTTGGTTTCTATTCCCTTGAAACTGCTCCCTCCGTGAACAAGCCCTCGTAGAACTGTTTTATTCACCCATCTGTCACCAACCTCAATGATAAGTTTCTTAGAAGTCCTCTGCTGATCCAACAGGGCACGCCTAGACAGACCCCCACCTGGATCGGCACACCCCAAAGAGAACCCCCCACTGCTGCACTGGAGTCGGGCTCCCTAGACCCCAGATATCAGCCCTGTCATTTATTCCCTGTGTAGTCTGGGGTACATTTATGCTCCAAGCTTCCGTTTGCATATCTGTCATATCTGTTAAATTCATGTAAAAATACCAACTTTGAAACTTGGTGACAGTCGGAGCAGTTATCAAAGTTGTAAAGACAATTTATGTAAAACATCTAGTAGTGCTCAAAAAATTAGTTACCACGTATTTGAGAAGTGTACAAATGTTAGTGTACAGCTCAACAAAAATTAAAAATCGAACCTGTGCCACAGGTACCCAAATCCCAAAACTGAGAACGGCCACACCCAGAAGTCTCCTTCGGGTTGACACTCCGCCCCCGCCTCAGGACAGCCAGCAGCCTTGCTGTTCTTGACCTCTACATAAATGAATCCTACAATAGGTAATCTTTTTAAATTGGGATTCATTTTACTCAATACATCAAATGGCGTTATAGGAAGGTGCAGTTTATTCTTGATACATTGTTATTATTTTTCATTGCAGTTTGTGAGTCCTCATTTTGAAACAAATTGGCTATCAAAGAAAACACCCAAATGGCTCAACTTCTATGCTTGCACCAAGCAATGGCTGCAGTTCAAAAAACCACTAGCTTGATATTTCACATCGCAGGATGATTCACGGCGTTGCCCTAGAGCGTACTACATACAATGTGCACATCCTTTATAATAATGAACAGACCAAGCAGTCGCAGCCAACCGCAGCTTAAATAAAAGCAGACATGTATCAAACCTCCAGAGGACTCCGGGAAGAAAGGCTCAATTCACTTAAGGAGAGCACACCTGCCCAGGCAAACAGGTAAGAGAAGAAGGGATGCTCTCTAAAGCCCCCGTTGTTAGGCACAAGCAGGTGTGAAACGCAGAGGAAAGGACACAGCCTTGGGTACTGGATGGAATTGGTATTGAACCCTTGATCCTCTGCTCATTTAGGGTATGATCATGAGCAAATCATTCTGAGTCTCAATTTCTTCATTTGTAAAATGAAAATAATAGTACCTAGCTCTTGGGGTTGGTTTGAAGATAAATTACCAGGCGAGATACACGGAAGGTGTTGCCTTAGGGAATGAAGGACATGCGCCTCCCACCCTGTGCTCAGAGCAGTCTGAAGAGAGACTCTGAACCTTCTCTTTCTCCAAGTCCCCCTTGTTTAGCATGTGATGCTGCAAACAAACCTTGAGTCAAATCCTGCCTGGCATGAGGTGCACGTGTGACTGTGGTGTGGCCAGGAGCATGTGCCCTTGGGGAAGGCAGTGGCCCTGATGACTATCAGTTCCCCCAGCTGTCAGGCATTGTGAAGTTGGTAACAGACCTGGAGTGTTCTCTCACAACCTATCATTATCCTATGAAATAGTTTTATAGAGCAGGAACTGATAGAAAGGTCAAGATCATATGTCCAGTTAGCTTAGGGTAAAGACTGGGATCCTGTCTGTATACCTCCAAACAACCGTCCACTTCTGCACTGTGTGCACCACGTCTCCTCTGTGGTCCTCACTCACGGTGAGAAACGTTAACAAAAGCAAGCAAGAGGCCTGCTCTCATAGAGGGTAAGGATCCAGATGTCGGGGCTGTCAAATATCTCAGTAGGGAAGTGTAACTCGGGGCTGGGCACCTGTCGGGGAGGCACTCCTGTGCAGCTGACGTTGGGCTGAGACCTGCAGAATGTCCCTCCACGTGCTTCCTATGGACATATTCTCCTGCCCTTCCACACACACTCTTCCATTTGTCCCTGAAATGGACCTGCAAAATATTCTAAGCCACCCCCTGGCCTCCTGCAGGGAACAGTTTGGGAAGCTAGATTTACAGACTAGTAGGAACGGATCCCAGCCGGCCTTCCTGCCAGGCCCCTGTCAGCACTTGCACATGGTTTTTTACAGATGACTGCTGCTTATCTGTCTGGGCCAGCCCTCTCCACTCAGGGGAGACAGCCTGTTGGTGGTGGATGATCAGGAAGAACTTCCCAAGGAACTTTCACACGACCAGGGGTCCCTGGGGTCTTCACACCCGAGAGTCCTTGGCTTGTGTCCTTTATCTACCCACATATGCTCCCAACAGGGACGAGGCTACCAGTGGCCCAGTATCTCCTATACTCTACGAACCGCATGACACACGTTAGTCAGTTTTCCGTCACTGTGATAAGTACCTGAGAAAGTGTTTCAAGGGAGGAAAGCTGGCCCAGGTCCAGAGGCTGCAGAGCGTGGCAGCTGGGTCTCTTACCTGTAGGCCCCTGGTGAGGTGGCACATTGCCATGGGGCGCATGTGGAAGGGCGAAGTGGCTCACCTCATGGAGGCCAGAAAACAGACAAAAGGAGGAAGGGACACGGCAAGTGACAGCCTTCAGGGACCCACCCCAAAGATCCGCTTTCTCCAGGTGTCCCCATGGCCCTAAGTCTCCACCCCCTCCCAACAGCCCAGTAGGCAATGAATCCATCGTGGATTAGTCCACAGTGAGGTCACCCTCATGGTCCAACCTCCAAAGGCCCCACTTGTGAGCACGGCTGCCTTAGGGGCCAAACACACCAGCCTTTGGGGGACGTTTCAGATCCAATTCACAACAGATTCCATGAACATATTTGGCGACAGTTTTATCTGCTGTCCCAAGATGACGAGTCATCCTCTACAGGAGTATCTCTCTGTAAAGACCTGGAGCTTTGAGCCACTCAAAACACATTTAGAGGCAGCGCCGCACTCTCTGCAAACACTCGGTGATGTCAGGCTACAGTAAGAGAAGAACTGAGCCCCGACAAGAGGAAGAGGGCCCCTGGTGAGGGGGACACAGCACGGGTGTAAAGTCAGGGTACTGGATTCCACACTGGCTTCTCGGCAGCGGTGTGCTTTTGAAGATTTGCTCAACTTCCCTAAGCACTTGCTTTTCCACCTGATATGAATGCCACCTACAGAAGTTTCCCACAGTGAAGGAAAAGGCTGGTTCTAGCCAGAGCCTAGTGGGTGACACTGTCCAGCCAAGAATAGAAAACACTGGGTATGCCTTGGGAACTCTGCAGTGACCCAGGGTCTAGGAATCAGCTTTTCTGTAATGACATCACAGGTTCCTTCTTAGAGGAATCACACTCACCAAGGTCATACACAGGACTAGTGAAAGGGGAAAAAAAAAAACAGAATATCAACTTTGTAAATGACAAGAGTAAGAATTAAGCTACAAATCTCAAGGTCACCAGCATTTTCCTCCAGTGGAAATCACACGGGAAGCCACATTATAGTCAGGAGGTCTACTGGTGCTCTGGGACTCAGAACAAGGACAATAGCCGTCAACACCTATTTCAAAGCTTCCAGGAAGACTGGCCACCACCAAAGCCCTATGCCTGGAAATGCCTCCACGTTCCCTCCGTTCCCCATCCTTTCTCTTGGGAATAGTGGCACATTCAATGGAGCTTCTTCACATGCTGTAGATAAAACAAACTTTTTAAATTGGAGATGACCTTGCACTACCAGGTTAATTTTACCATTTAGTTGTCAGGAGGCAATCTTAGTTCTCGCTACCACACTGATTCAGGGGTTGCTGGGAATAGCAAATGACATAGATCCTTTATGACACCTGGAACCTAGCAGGCGCTTAACAAGCTATTGTGATGATAATGACAATGATTATTTTGTGCTTGATCAGAGTGCCCTTATGCTCCCCAACAGAGTATTTTAAAAGAAACCATGAATATAAAGGGCAGAGGAGGGGAAGTTACAAAGACGCTGCCATTTCTGGATTTCTTCTTCAAAGAATGAATCCCATCTCTCACCGTGAGCCAGGGAGGATGGCCAAGCTCACGTGCCCACAGAAGCTGAGCCTTTTGACAGCAGGCACTGGCATGTGGACAAGCAGGGGCTGCCTCCAGCCAAAGGAGCCCTTTGTACACTGCGTCAGGATGAGGGGCTGTGGTGGCCCCGGGTTTTGAACATGCTCAGAGCACATGGGGAGGCCACACCCCTGTGGGCAAAGGACAAGTGTTCACTGAAGTAGGAGAAATTCCACCATCTTGAAAGGTGGCGGCTCAGGGAGCAGGAAGTAGAGATGTGGACGACAGGTCCCGCGGGAGGACAGAGCTCCTGCCTGTCCCGAGTCCCATCCTTGGGCCGTCTCCTGGGGAGAAGCCAAGCAATGGCTTCTGCCTTATCCAACCCACCAGGTCCAGGCAGGCAGACGGGGGCAGCCTGGAGAACTCCTGTGGATGGGCCAGGGCGGTGTCCTGACAGCAGACACACCTAATCCTTTCTCGCAAGCTATTGTGTAACCTCCTCTTGTCACCCAAGCCTCACCTGTGCGCTGAGGGAACAGGGAGGGCTTGTGGCCACCCAGGGCTGCCCAGGTGAAGAGTGAGCAGCAGCCCCGAGGCCACAGCAGCTGTGACCAGCAACAGCCTCCCAGGAAGGCGGGACTTCCCTCCAGTGGTGCAGTCGCTAAGGGCTGCCTCCACCTCCAGCCCGAGTGCACTCTGTCCCCCCAGAACACACACAGGGTCACCCTGCCCACCCTGATGGACCGAGTTTGAGGTTTTGAAACATGTGGCCATTTCTCTTCCACGGCAATTCTCCAGTGGCCTCACACAGTGACACCCCGTGCACTTGTGCCGACTGATCTGTGGCCATGGCTTTCTGTCTCCAGCGGTAATTGGGAGGTTGTGGATATAGTGTTTCAACCTACAAGAGATAAGCCTGGAGCTGGATTCTGGGATAACCTCCTGCACTGGGGGAAGCAAAGTGCTTATTTAGTAAAGGGTAAAAATCACTTTCTTCAAATGACCAAAGGCCGTTATGTAAAAGGAGGATCCTTTGTGTTCTATGGACCCAAAGTGGGAGAATTCAATCAGGTGGGTAGAAGTTGCACCAAAACTGTACCCTGCCTTAAGGTATACATCGTGCCCCTTCTTGTTCTTGAAGGATGCCTCCCATGGTCCTCTCACCTCACCATTCACCCCTCCAAAAGTTCTCCAAAGAGCACAAATAAAAGGGACATGGGGAAGCTAAGCCAGCTACTCTGAGGAACAGCAAGGGGACCGGCAACCTTCACCTACATTCAAAAAAACGTTTTGGACTTTTGTGCACTCTTTAGACCACAATACCTTGAAGAGTTGGAAGCCAGAAATGCAGAGCGCAGAAGATGAAGTATGAAGAGAAGCCTGGGCCTGGGGAGGTAGGGAGCTGAGGGTCTGCAGGTGCAGCCCGAGCCCTGGCAGCCAGCTCCCTAATACACATGAGCAGCACCTTCTGCACCGAGTGCAGTTCAAGAAAGTCCCTCTACACGGAGGTAGTTAGCCTTTGGGCCTGATGTCAGGCTTGATGAGCCAGCCATTCTCAGTGCAGGGAACTTTGTATCTTTTGCTCACAAAATCTGAATGTCTTCCAATAGCTGTCAACATGAAGTTGAAACATCTTAATGTAGCACATGAAATCCACCTGTAGCTGTCTCTCAACGGCTCTGCACACATGCTTGGCCCCAGTCACGCTGGCTACTGCCTTGCGTGCGATTCTGGAAATAAACCCAGGTGCCCTCTTTGCACTTCTGCCTTGAGTGCCCCCCCCCACACACTTTCCTTTACACAACCCCTCCTCAGCTCAGCTGTACATTGGTTCCCAGACCTGCTCCCCTTCCTTACCTGTGTGGGACAGAGCCCCCTGCACTGTCCACGCCCCTGTAGATCCCAATCCTGTCACCACGTGACTCCATAAGTGCCTTCCCCACCACCATCAGAATGTGAAAGCAGAGGAAAGGACCCACAGAGGTCGGCATTGCAAAACATTTTAAAACTGGTTTTAATTTTTAGTTCAGTTCCTAGTAAGTCTCCCTGCTCC